AAAAATCCTCCTAAAATATAAAAAAATCCTCCTAAAATATAAAAAAATCCTCCTAAAATAAAAAATAATCCTCTTAATATTTAAAAAAATATTATTAAAAAAAATTTCAAGGGAGAAGGAGGAGGAGGAGGAGGACTATTTTCCCATGGGAGGAGGAGTATCGTCCCAAGGGAGGAGGACTATATTCCCATGGGAGGAGGACTATATTCCCATGGGAAGAGGAGTATCGCCCCAAGGGAGGAGGAGTATCGTCCCAAGGGAGGAGGAGTATGGTCCCATGGGAGGAGGAGTATGGTCCCATGGGAGGAGGACCAGCGTCTCGTGGGATGAGGAGAATCGTCCCGTGGGAGGAGGACTATCTTCCCATGGGAGGAGGACCAGCGTCTCATGGGAGGAGGAGTATCGTCTCATGGAATGAGGGGAATCGTCTGTAGGGAGGAGGACTAGAGTCTCATGGGAGGAGGAGTATCGTCTCATGGGATGACGAGTATCGTCTCATGGTAGGAGGACCAGCATCTCATGGGAGGAGGACCAATGTCCCATGGAGAAAGACCGTCTCATGGGAGGAGACGGTACTTCTCCATGGGAAGGCGGATGTCTGTTTCTTGAAAGGATAAGTGTTGTCTAATGGAAGGGTTGTCTCATGAGAGGAGGAGTGGTGCCTCAAAGAAGAAGGGGAAGTGTCGTTGTCTCAAAGGAGAAGTGTCAAAGGAGTCTTGGAGAGGAGGAGTTGGAGAATTATTATGTAATGGGAAGAGTGTTGATATGTTAGAGGAGTATTATGTAATTTGTTGTTTGTTGTTTTCAACTAAAATGTTGTTTTTTGTTTTGATGTTGTCTTGTATTGCCTAAGTCTTGGTCTGTCTAAGTCTTGGTCTGTCTAAGTCTTGTGTTGTTCAAGTCTCGTGTTAGTCTCGTGCCTAAATCTTGGTCTGTCTAAGTCTTGGTCTGTCTAAGTCTTGTGTTGTTCAAGTCTCGTGTTAGTCTCGTGCCTAAATCTTGGTCTGTCTAAGTCTTGGTCTGTCTAAGTCTTGTGTTGTCTAAGTCAGGTGTTTGTCTTGTGTTGTTCAAGTCTCGTGTTAGTCTGCTGTTGCCTAAGTCTTGGTCTGTCTAAGTTTTGGTCTGTCTATGTCTTGTGTTGTCTAAGTCAGGTGTTAGTCTTGTGTGGCCTAAGTCTTGGTCTTGTGTTGTCTAAGTCTTGGTCTGTCTAAGTCTTGGTCTGTCTAAGTCTTGTGTTGTTCAAGTCTCGTGTTAGTCTCGTGCCTAAATCTTGGTCTGTCTAAGTCTTGGTCTGTCTAAGTCTTGTGTTGTCTAAGTCAGGTGTTTGTCTTGTGTTGTTCAAGTCTCGTGTTGCCTAAGTCTTGGTCTGTCTAAGTTTTGGTCTGTCTATGTCTTGTGTTGTCTAAGTCAGGTGTTAGTCTTGTGTGGCCTAAGTCTTGGTCTTGTGTTGTCTAAGTCTCGTGTTAGTATTGTGTTGTGCAAGTCAGGTGTTAGTCTTGTGTGGCCTAAGTCTTGGTCTGTCTATGTCTTGTGTTGTCTAAGTTTCTTGTTAGTCTTGTATTGTTAGCCTAAGTCTCATGTTAGTCTGCTGTTGCCTAAGTCTTGGTCTGTCTAAGTCTTGTGTTGTCTAAGTCACGTGCTAGTATTATGTAATGGGTATTGTTGTTGTTGGAATGTTGTGTTTTGTTTAAGTATACTAGAGAGAGACGCAAAAAATGTAAGACTCAGATAAACATGGCCTACAAGATAAACAGCGATTTCCGAATAGCCTACAAGCCTATAAGTTCTAAGATGTACGTGATATGCTGTTCTGCCATTTCTTGTTGCAGTAACTCTCCTGAAGAAGTCTTGGAGACATGTGATTTAAGAAACAAGTTCTACGTAAGAACAAACATCAAAATAATTTACTCTACAAGAATCGCTGCAATAACTCTCTAGAAGAAAATTGGAAAAAGTTCTAAAGTTCTAGTTTTATCGGCATATCACATGTGCTCGAAATGCTGCTCTATCGTTTTTTCCAGATAAACATGTAGTTGTCTAGCAAAAAAATAGTTGAGATGCTAGGCCATTGGAACAAATTACACTACAAGAACTGTTTGTGCTTGAAATGCTGCAATAATTCTCCAGAAGAACCAGAAACATGTACTAAAAATACATTTATAGTAATTTACACTAAAAGAACACCTTGTTCTGGGGCACCTTGACAAATGCCTTTTCTTGTTCTCTTTTGCGACAACTTTCTCGTCTTTTGCTGGCAGCTGGATCTCAATTTGACGTCTTTTTGCTGCTTCTTGTTCTTTGCAAAACTGCAGAGTGAAACCAAAACGTCTTTCTGCTTCTTCAAAGTCCTCTTCAAAGTCTTCAAAGACCTAAAAAAATAATAGGACCTCCTCAGTTCCCTGTCAATCTTGTTGTTTCATCAGAGCCTACAAAGACAAAAAGAAAGAAAGATTAAACAAGCAACGAATGAAAAAGAAGAAACCCCTGCCCCCACCCCCCTGCGCGCGCAGCCCTCCCCTATCCTCCGTCGTCTATGCCCCCACCCTACCCCCGTCGCACGTGGGCGACCGCTCACGGCCGCGGCCACAGCCGCCGGCCGGCCGACCCAGCTCCCCGGCCCTGGCCCCACCCCATCCCCCCTGCGGACCGGGGGATGGGGGGGGCCAGGACCGGGGAGCTGGGTGGCTAGGCTAGCAATTGCAGCCGAGGCTGTAAGCAATTGCACACGATTGAAGAGGAAACTGTTTTACGCCGGTTAAACCGGGAAAACAGTTTCCT